AACATTGTGGACTAGCATAAAATTAATAACAAAAATCTCCTTTCTGTTAATCTTGTATTGCTAATCATTTTTTTTTATTACAGTTTCCATCTATCTTCTTTAGACTTTGCCCAAAACACAAAAAAAAGGATAAAAAAAAATTATCGTCATTTAAAGCCAATCACTCTGATAAAGTGTCTACTAATGGCAAAATTTGAGTTTCTTGTAGATCTTGTCTTGCTGATCATCTTTGCTATTTAAAGTGTCTATCTATCTTAAGTAGTTTTCAAGATATGAGGCATAAACTGCTTCGCTGAGCGCAGCTGGATACGCCCGCAGAGGTCCAACCCTGAACAGTTGGGGCAAAAATGGACACAATATTCAAGCTTGATACAGGTCTGAATTTGGATTGTATTAAATATTTGACATATTATAGGTTTCTGAATAAATGTAGACAAAGTACTTGAAATTGGTTATATGAATTGAATTTATATTCAATTAAAGGTTTCTTGCTGTTGTGCAATACACTGTGCTGTTGCGCAATACTTAGTAAATCTGTTGTCAGACTATAAACAATTAAAGTTCAATTAATTCTCAATGTCATATTAGAAACTTATGAAAATGTAAAGGGAGCTTACATCAATAGATATAAACAATTCACCAAAGTTTCATGAGAATTTTGAGTTATTGTCCGAAAACTGGAAAATCCCCCCCCTTTTTTAATGAATAAAACCCTATAACTCAGAAATGTAAAATGTAAAATTTATAAAATTCTAAACAGAACTTACATCAATAGATATAAACAATTCACCAAAGTTTCATAAGAACTGCTGAAAGCATTTTTGATTTATTGTCAGGAAACTGGAAAATCCCCCTTTTTTTATGAAAAAAACCCTGTAACTCGGAAACGTAAAATCTAAAATATATAAAAATCGAAAGGGAGCTCATGTCAATAGATATAAACAATTCACCACAATTTCTTGCAAGTTGGTGAAAGCATTCTTGAGTAATTGTCCGAAAACTGGAAAATCCCCCTTTTTTTAATGAATAAAACCCCATAACTAGGAAGCGTAAAATCTAAAATTTTTAAAAAACGAAAGGAAGCTCACGTCAATAGGAATAAACAATTGACCAAAGTTTTATGCAAATTGGTTAAAGCATTTTTGAGTTAATGTCCGACATGTTGACGACGGACGGACAGATGGACAGACGGACAACGGTATACCATAATACGTCCCATAAACAGGCGTATAAAAAAACGCAAAAAAATAAATGGGGAATGTGTCCATGGGACACAGATGATGCCCCGCTTGCATATCATATAAGGTCATAAAGGGACATAACTGAAGAACGGTAAAAGTGACGCTACCCAAATTTGTACTTGATCTGAGTTTTGTGGTAATAAGTATTGTGTATAAGTCTCATAACATTTGGTTGAGGCTAACTTAAGTTAGAGAACAGAAACAAATAAATGTAGATAGTGTCCACATGTGGTGGACACAGATGATGCCTATCATATAGTTATAAAGGGACATAACTGAAGAACGGTAAAAGTGACGCTACCCAAATTTGTACTTGATCTGAGTTTTGTGGTAATAAGTATTGTGTGTAAGTCTCATAACATTTGGTTGAGACAAACTAAAGTTAGAGAACAGAAACGAAAAATTCAGCAATTGTGTAAGTCTCATAACATTTGGTTGAGGCAAACTAAAGTTAGAAAACTGAAACAAAAAATTTGTACTTGATCTTAGTTTTGTGGTAATGAATATTGTGTATAGGTTTCATAATGTTTGGTTGGGGCAAACTTAAGTTACAGAATGGAAACTAAAAAATTTGCAATCTTTCGATTTATAAAGGGGCATAACTCAATAATGGTTAAAGTAACACTACCCAAATTCAACTTGATCTGTGTTTTATCAGTGGAAGTCAAAATTAAACATTGAATTGTATAAAGCATTGATTGTAGTTGATTCAACTATAATCATTGACAAAGGAAGATAACTTCAATTTTAAAAATTACTTGATATCTAAAAGAAAATAAAATTTTTGCAATTTTTCCATTTATAAAGGGGCATAACTCTAGAACAGTTAAAGTGACGCCACCAAAATTCAAACTTGATCTGTGTTTTGTGGTAATAAGCATTGTGTTTAAGTTTCATAACATTTGGTTGAGGCAAACTAAAGTTACAGAATGGAAACGAAAAATTTAGCCATTTTTATGTTTATAAAGGGGCATAACTTAAGAACCGTAAAAGTGACGCTACCTAATGTCGAACTTGATCTGTATTATGTGGTAATAAGCATTATATATAAGTTTCATAACATGGTTGAGGCAAACTAAAGTTAGAGAATGGAAACCAATTTTTGGACGTACGTACAGACGGACATACAGACGGGCGTACGGACGTACAGAAGGACAAGGGTAAAACTTAATGCCCCCTTCGCAATGGCAGGGGCATAAAAAAGACAAATATTGTCATTAAAGACAAGCACTCCTAGGATGAAATTTGAAAAAAAAGGCAGGACAGGAGTTTTGAGTAAAAAAAAAAGGCAGGATGAGCAACTTGGCAAAAAATAAAAAGCAGGATGACAATTTATGTAAAAAAAGTCAGGATAAACTAATAAAAAAAAAAGACAGGACCGAATAGAGTGAAAAATAAAAAGGCAGGACAGAGATTACAACTAAAAATAAATGCAGGACACAATTTTTCATTCTAGCCCCCCCCCCCCCTTAAATACAATAAACAATGAAGTCAATAATTGGGGAAAAAACTTATAATGTGCACGACAACTCAACTACTGTAGAAATTACTGATTCAAAGTCCAACTGTAAAATGTATATAGCTTTTATTTTAATATTTATCAATGTAAAAAATGTTTCTATGGAACTCAGTTTAATCAGTTGATTTCTTTATGCTACTTTTCTTATAGATCATATTTGTATCAATTTACATGTTCGGTTTTTTAAACATTGATTTTTCTTATGACTCTGTATAAATACTTTTGAATGTTAGTCTTTTTCTTCAGGCTACATTTTCCAAATGCCTTGTCTTTATAGGCAAATGTTTTAGTCAATATCAATAAGTTATATCAAACTACATGTTGAACAATACAAATATATAACTTTATAAGCTTGTTTCTCAAAGTTAGGTATATAAATTCATAGAAAAATCAATACATCCTCCAAAGACACATGAAAGTTCATCTGTTTTCCTTATGTTAATTATTGAATTCTAAATCAAAACAGATAAAAAATAAAAATCCATTATATTACTGAAATAAAATATAAATTGGACATTATGAACAATAATGATATAATTAAGTTTAAAGCTAAGATCAATGAGATATTTTTCATTTGTATTTATTTTATCGGGTTTATTGTCCAAATGAGAATTCAGATAAAGTTTACCTGTTGTTGCTTTCAATCTATTTTTAAGTGTGTTTTATTATTCTCTTGAACATTCCTTTTGAAAACCCGATTCTTGATTTGAATGAATATGTTGCTTGTGTCAACCCTTTATGCTGATTAAACCTCCATCGGATATTCATAACACGAATTACAATAATTGTTTTTACTTAAATCTTTAAATTTTTTTTAAATCCGAACTTCATTTTCTGATAAAGCATACCTTTGTTAGAGTATTTAAACTGGGGTAAATTATGAGAAGCAATTTTAATTTTTCGATAAACAATTCTTAATTAAAAATTTTCCCAATAATTTAAGCAATTATGTTTAAACTGTTATAAAATACACACATGTGACCAAGTTAATCTCCACAGAGGAAATAATCAATGAACAAGATGTAAAAATTCAATATGGCTACATAAATTATCTTCACACTAGTGGTGTATATATACCACAGAAAATTTATAATTATCTCATATAGCATTTCATTTTCCTGTCATGCCTCAGCTGCTCAAATAAATTTCTCTATTCTCAAAAATTATAAATGAAAAAAAAGACTTTATTTTTTAAAAGCAACAAAAAGCAAAAAAGTATTTATGGTTGATTAGAAATTTTGTTCCACAGTAATTTGATGTTATATTGGGCTGTGTTATAATCTACAGTAAATAGATTTATCTGTTGTTTAGATAGATGAGGTATCCAGTGGGAAAACAGATGTTCGATTAAAAACAAAGCAGTTAATCTTTAATATAATGAAAACATTTTTGATTCATTTTTTATGATATATTACATAACTGAACGATGTACAAATGAACAAATTCATAAGTTTTAAAATAAAGCCTGCAGGTAAACAAATGAGTAATAAATATTTTTGACTAAGAAACATAATACTGTGTGATATATTACACATCCTGTTATTACCCCTAGGGTAGCCCTTATAATTTACCAGGGTCTGTTCTTAAGTCAACAAATTCCCAGTTAATGTAAAATCATCTCTCTTGACCCAGAATAATTGACATTTAAGTAAAATAATAAAAAACATAAATTTCTCAATGAGACAAATGATATAATGTAATGTTTTTGCAAGAAAATATAGAAAATCAATAAAATTAAACTCTTGCACAATGATGATGAATTGTATCCTAAATCAATGTGTAAATGAAGAAAATAAAATTGTGTATTCTATTAAGTTGTTAAATTCTTTAACAAATAAACCTTAACATATTTTATAACTGCCTGATTTATTGATATGGAGAAAACTGTGAGCTTAACACTAGATAATAGGTACTCTTCTAATAGTGATAAAACTTTTACCTTGATTAGCATAATCTTATGAAACATTTTTTGTTTAAATATCTAAGCTTTAAAAAGTTGAACTCACGGAAAAGATTATAAAACTATTTTTGAACTATTATTTGAACATACTAAAGTTGATGTGTCAACTCTGGTAATAAATTAAATTACTTGAATGGTAATTAAATATTTAAATAAAATAACCCAAAGGAGCCTGAGTATTTGAGCAATGAATATTTGTCAATAGTCACTCAAGTGTAAAATAGCTTTAATTTCCTGTTTAAAATCATCATCTAAAAAATAAAATAAAATAATTCTATACCTCTCCGTGTGTCTCCTGTCTGCCTTCTGGTGTATGTTCTGGTAGAAAATAAGTTCGGACACTGGTCATCACATGGACATCTTCTTGTTGTTTTATAGAATAAATCATCTGGAGTTCACCAACACATACTGGGCTCAATTTACTTATCTTCATATAAAAAAATTCTCCAAGTGTCAAAATTTTATATTTCCCATCTTCTAAATATTTCAATGCTTTGTAAAAAGTATTTTGTGCATGTCTTCCACATGGTGCACCTACAAACTGAAATAAAGACATTTTTGGCATTAAAAAATTTGCAACTTATTTACTCTATGTAAAATAACTCCACTAAATCGGTGATAAAATACTGCCACCTTCTAATCTAGGTCACTTCAATAAATATCAATTCTCATAAAATAAACTCACCTTTAAATTTTACGAAATATTAACAATAATACTGAATAATATCTAAATAATAAAATTTCATATTTACCTGTATATTATGTGTGTCCATTTCGCTAATTTTTTATCTTTTCATTATCGATATTTCTTGGCATGCACAACAGCAACAATACTTTATATTTAGGACCTAATTAGTGACGTCACATTGTTGAAGAGTTTCCTCATTAGCATAATTTATTCATGAAATAAAAATTCGATGAAAATGTAATTTTAAATCAATTTTTATGAAAAAAAGACGTTGTAAATTATTTCTAATGCTTTCAAGTATATAACAATAAATCTTTTTGAAAATTTAAAAGAAATTTGAATTACTTTCTCGTGATTTGATATTTTGAGATTGAGCACAAGCTATTTTTGTGTTGACGGAAGTTGGTTTAGTCACATGGGTTAGATCTTTTATCTTCATCTTCCTTGGACTGAAGAAGTAGTGTGTTGAAGTGGCTAAATTATGAAAAGTACTGACTGAAGTTTAAGTTGACAGTTTATATAAAGAGTAATTTAGTTTGTAATTGCATTAACGGGCCAAAAATGGGAGGAAATATAAAAAAGGGGGAGGGTGCCTTAAAAACTTGAACTGTTGTCGTGTTGAGCTGCAGTTTCCAAAACAAAATGTTTCAGCCCAGCTCTCATACTATATTCATTTCCAGCTAAATGCAAAGTAGACTTTGATCAAACATTCTACTGATCACCCTTGAACCAAGGATTTGTATAGTAGTTACACGTCCTTGCATTAAACACATGCACCTACTTTCACTTTTAACATTTCAAGTCATTTGATCAATCTTCTCTCTTGTTATTTAATAACTAATATTTATTTCTCATGACTGATTACCAACATTTTGTGTGTCAGGATATACACTAGAACAGGTTCATACAAATACAGCTTTTATCCCACCATCAGAGGACAAACTTTTTCGGTAAAAATCTTCACTCTGTGTCTCTTCACTCAAATAAGGAAAAATTGTGGTTAAAAACTTCTTTATAGACATTTCTCAGATTCGTCAAATCTACAATTATATCTTATAAAAGTCAATTGGCCAGTATTTAAAGCTCAATAGGGCTATACAATTATCTCCCTTGGCAATTTTTCAATGAAATTTCTTTGTGCAATTTTTAAATTTGCAGACATATAGATAGGTTTCGATTCACACAATTTGAACAAAAATTGCTTCCTTTTTGTCGCCATGTTCAGTCATAGAAATTGAGGTTTGGCATTTACAAGACCGAATTCATGATTCTTCAAATTTTTCTTAAGATTGTATTACAAAATTCACAAAAATCAACAGGACCGAACAGATTTTCACAGGCCAGGGGCTGTGTGGTCCTGAGCTAAATTTGAAGACTGCATGTTGGAGATCTATGTGCACGAAATCCTTCATAAATCAGCAAAATTCAACCTGTAATACTGACCACTAGTTTTAGAAAAAAAGTAGTTTCTGAACAATTTCAATTTCTTTTAGCCTTGTTTGATTCATCTCTACGATCTATTAATGATATTTTATCAGACTTGTTTGAACCGCATCTTTCAATTTTGTTCATGTTGTTAGTCTTATAGGGAAATCAACAATTTACCCCACCAAAATGTCGGCCAAGGGAAATAACTCAAACTCAAATTTTGTCATATCGAAACCTTCCATAGCAGAATATAAAATCTCATTAGTAATACTCTTTTACTTTTACCATTAAAAAATAATCCTCAAAAATCAGGCTAAAAGTTTTAAAATTTTACACAGAAATGTTTAAGTGCCCTGGTATATGAAAATAAGAAGATGTGGTATGATTGCCAATGAGACAACTTTCCATAAGAAACCAAATGATGATGAACTGAGCAACTATAGGCCAATGGTACTGTGGATTCATTACTATTCGTTGGATACCAGTTTTCGTGGGTTTCGTTGGTACAGGTGAACCACGAATTCAAATGTTCAACGAATATCATATTTTCAATCGGCTTTGTATACAGAGATTGGCAGAACCATGAAATCAAATATCCACGAAAATGCAAGTTTTCAGCAATCCACGAAAATTGATACCCACGAAAATAAATTAATCCACAGTATATGGTCTTTAAATGTAAGAAAAACCCATACTGCATAGCAAGCTATAAAAGGACTTGACATGAAAAATGTAAAACATTTCCAACAAGAAAACTTATGGCCGGATTTATTGGTATGTACAAAACAATATTTATACAAAAACAAATTTGATATACAGCATCAAACAACAACAAGTGGTTCCTGACTTGGGACAGGCACATACAGAATGTGGTTGGATTAAACATGTTTTGGCCACCCAAGCCTCCCCTAATCTGGGACAGTGGTGCAACATCACAACACTAGAACAAACTGTTCAAAACAATAAATGAAAAACAAATACAATTAAACCTGCCCTAATGGTCACCTTTTTCCAGCAGTCACCTGCCTATAACAGGCACTTTCAGACCCTCCCAAACCTTTTCTCTATATAACTTCACTCTTTTCAGCAGTCACCTGCACAGTCATTTCAACTTTTAACAACAGTCATTTTAATGTTTTTAACTACCAATAATCATGATGAAAAATATGTATGTACAGCAACCGAAGACAACCCCTGAATAACAGGATCACTACTTGGGACAGGCACATACAAAATGTGGCTGGGTTAAACATGTTTGCAGACACTCAACCTTCCCCTCACCTGGGACAGTGGTGTAACAGCACATGTTTCTTTATTACTCTTAAAGAGTTTTAGTCTGCTCATATTACTGCAAAAACTTTAGATTTCTTTTGATAAATATCAAAGGTCAGGAAGATAAATTTGTTGAGCTGCATGTAAAAAGCTAGAATTGTAGATTTGCCGAACCTGTTATAATTCATCGATGTTATGAATCTTATTAAAAAAAAAATTGAATAGTTTTGATAAATATTTTGTCTTGGTAAGATCAATTATTAGTTCCCTACCGTCGAAAGGGACTTTAGGTTTGCACTCTGTCTGTCTGTCTGTCTGTATGTCTCTGTTCATCCATCAGTCCTGGAAATCAGTTTTCCACACTTTTTTCTTCGTGCTTGAAGATATTGATTTGATATTTGGTGTATTGTTTTATCATGACAAGTTACAGATCAAGTTCGAATTTTGTTTTCTGGTTCTGATGATTTTGTGCAGAGTTATGGTTCTTGGACTTAGAAAATTCACTCAAATAATCAGTTTTCCACACTTTGTTTCGTCATGCTTGAATATATTGATATGATAATTGGTATATAGTTTTATCATGACAAGTTACAGATCAAGTTCGAATTTTGTTATGGTCTGATGATTTTATGCAGAGTTATGGTCAATGGACTAAGAAAATTCACATAAATAATCAGTTTTCCTCACTTTTTATGCCCCGCTGTAGCGGAGGGGGCATTAAGTTTTACCCTTGTCTGTCCAACCATAGGTATGTCCCAAAGTTGGTTTCTGTTCTCTGACTTTAGTTTGCCTCAACCAAATGTTATGAAATTTATACAAAATGCTTATTACCACAAAACAAAGATCAAGTTTGAATTTTGGTGATGTCACTTTTACTAGAGTTATGCCCCTTTACAAATTGAAAAATTGCTGAATTTTTCGTGTCCGTTCTCTAACTTAGTTTGCCTCAACCATATGTTATGAAACTTATACACAATACTTATTACCACAAAACTCAGATCAAGTACAAATTTGGGTAGTGTCACTTTTGCCGTTCTTCAGTTATGTCCCTTTATAACTTTATATGATATGCAAGCTAGGGTATCATCTGTGTTCCATGGACACATTCGGATTCCCCATTTATTTTCGTCATGCTTGAAGATATTGACTTGATATTTGTTATATAGTTTACACCATGATGAGTTATGGATCAAGTTAGCATTTTGTTTCAGTCCAATGAATTTTTAACCGGTAGGGGGCTATGTATTGCCGTGCAATACTCTCAGAATGCTTGTTGATGAGAAAATATTATTTGCTGTATTCAGTTGGTTTTCCAACCAATTCACTTTCTGTCTGATATATATAACTTGTATAACTACAGCGCCATCTTAATGTCAGTGTCCGCCAGAGAGAGAGCAGAATAACAACTGGATTATCCAGGTTATCTAAACTATGGCTTGTCTTCTTATTCAGTTTTAAGAATAGCAACAAGTTTTGGGTGAAACAATACCTGTTGCTTACTTCATATAAACAAACTCTTAATTTACAAAATTGATAAAGATTTCTTAAATCTCAGTCCTGTGAATTGCTACCAAACATTTTTTAAACATTGAACACCTGTTGCTGTTATGAATTCTTTGAAATGTTGAAGACAAAAAATAAATAAATGAAATATATATTTTTGAGAATATATAAGTTAGCATAGTAACGATACAATATTTTTGAGAATATTTGATTATTAATTAGTTTAAGTTAGCATAATTACAATATGTATTTCACTTCAATATTCAATCAAAGAAAATATTTTGATTTAGTTTTAAACCATATTGCTTGTGACAAAGAAGAAACTGTTGAGTCTTTTGGTGTTAATATGGTTAAGGTCTGACTAACGACGTCGGATTTCAAAATATTTTCTTGAAAATTTAAAGATTTATATCTATAACTATCATGACTATATAATAAATAAACTTGTGTGCCTAGGATATCTGGTAACTGTAGCATATTTAATAACAGAATTATCTACCTTACATTGTTGCTTCTGTTTATGAGGAAGTTAAAAAAAAAAGATCTATTTCAAATTTTATTTTTTTAAACGTTCATGCTGTCTCCTTAAATGACCTTCTACCTTTTATACATCAACATATATTTTTGTTTGTAAGTTACATCATATTAACTGCTTTATAAAGGAATTAGGAAACCCAACATATACTCCCATGACACTAAAGATGGCATTCTGAACAATTATAGGTCTGTTTTATGTTCTTTTGGAATTTCAACATTAGATGAAAAATTGGATCTTCCTTAACTTACTGGACTTCCAAACTACATAAGTGTCCCTATAAATGATGTTTTATTGCTCAATCTGGGTTTGTCAAATGCTCCTCAAAATCTCTTTCCATATTACTAATAACTATTAAGTAATCAAAACCATGCTTCAGAATAAACGTGCAACTACCTCTCTCCAGTAGTAATAGATGGAAAGTCACCATCCACTGTCCCTGTCACAAATAGCATTCCACTGTCTTGAGTCCAGTCTTGTTTCTGATATTTATCCATAATGACCTGCCAGACTTCTTGACTCACAGTAAGTTCAGACTATTTGCGGATGACAGTATATAAAGATACAGACTGATGAGATCACAGAGTGACTATGATATATATAAACTCCTAAGTTGATCTTGACGCTGCAGCGAGTTTGGAGAGGTTTTTTTGTATCACAGTACACGTACAGTCAAACCTCAAACGGGACAAACGTATAACAACACCCAAAGGTAACAAATCTCTTGGATTCCTAAAACATGATCTGAAAACAGCAAACAAACATATAAAAACCCAGGCACACCAAGC